AGTGGCCCATTAAGCTCTGAGCACGAGTGACTTTTCCAGCCCAGAGTTCCATACACTACCACAGTCCTCAGCAAAACAACATGGCCGTGGCTGCCCCAGGAAGAGCCCATTCTCTGGAACCAATTTCTGTGTAGTTTGCTGTCATTGTGAGAAAACACCACAGCTTAGGGAGGAATGGATTAATACAGCTTATGGATTACAACCTATTAGTGAGAGAAACCAAGACAGGAACCTGGAGGCTGGAACTGGAGCAGAGAATAGACGACCTTGCCTTACCAGCTTGTGTTCTATAGCTCGTCCAGCTTGCTTTCTTATACAGCCCAGGATCACTTGCTTATGGGGTGTACAACCACAGGGGGCTGGGCACTCCCACATGCATCAATCATTCCTCAAGTCTCCCCCACGGACTCCCCAGTAGGCCAGTCTGAAGGAGGCAACTCCTCGATTGACTGTCCCTCCCAGATAACGTCATCTTGTGTCAAGTTGACAAAAACCAAAACCAAAACAATAACAAAAACAAACCAAAACAAAAAAAAGCCAAACAACCAGTACATCCCGTTAAGTTCTCTTGTTCTCCCCTCCCCCTCTCTTTATACCTCTTCCTCCCACTTTCTACTTTCAGGATCTCCGAACATCTGTTAAGTTTCAAGAAGTGCTTATGTCCAGAAATGACAGTCTTGACTCACCCCCTGATGACTATAGAAGGATTTCAGGTGGTTGGATAACATTCCCTAGGGACTTGTGAAATGGGCTCCCGTCTGTCCACCAAAAGGAGTCATTTCCCTCTCCTCACCTCTGGCAAGAAGGGACACAGAGCTCTCCCATTGGCTTACCTCTGGTGGCTGTCAGCATATCAGAGTCTGCGTGCTAGCCTCCAGGCTCCTACGGTTTCTACTCACAAATATCTGCTATGCATTTAACAGTTCACATTTGCATCCGGGTCCCTCTCACCTCTGCATCGACCCTAAACTACCCAGGCCTGCTTCAGTTCACAGACTCCCCTCCTTCCAGATAACTGAATTTTCTTCCTCCTTCCTCCCCGGCCCTCTCTCCAATTCTACTTTCTCTCACAGATAGTCCTGTCCAGTCTGGTTCTTTTTCTCTCTGCTTTGGACTCTTCCAGATCCCTTTAGATATTCTTTTCCTCTCCAATAAAGACCTTTCCTTCTAATTATGGAGAAGCCATTCCTGTGATATCTTTACAGTGCTCCTCGTACACAATATCCAGGGACAGCTACATGAACTTAGAAGCCTGAATGTAGATTCTGCCTATGAGAGAGAATATCGTGTTTGTCTTTACGGATCTAGATTATTTCATTTCTATATTCCTGAGCACGTATCTGTGGAGTAGGATGTCTAGTCCTTTGGGCATAAGCCAACGATGTGAGAGTTGGGCATATGGTAGATTTATTTTTAGCTTTTTGAGAATTCTCCACACTGACTTCCAGAGTGGCTTGCATAGGTTTGCAACCTCCCCAACAGGGAGCCCGAGCTCTCCTTTCTCCACATCCATCCCTACATTTGCTGCTTTGTTGACCTTAGTCACTCTAACTAAATCTCAAAGTTGTTTTGATTTACATTTTCCTAATTGCTAAAGATGATAAGCTTTTTTTTTTTTTAAGCTATTTCTCAGCCATTTTTATTTCTTCCTTTGAGAATTCTCTGTTCAGATCCATGGTCTGCTTTTTTAATTGGGGTGTTTGTTTTCTTAACTCTTTGTTTTCTGAGTTCTCTATATGTTGAAGATGTTAAGCCTCTGCTGGACATTTAGCTGACAGATGGCAAAGATTCACTCCTATTCTGTGGGTTTCCTCTTTACTTGGTTGTTTCTTTAGCTGTGAAGGAACCTTTCCAGTTTTTTGAAGTCCGACTTGTTAATTGTTGGCACCAATTCCTGGGCAAATGGAGTCCTATCCAGAGCACCCTTCTCTTCATCGTATTGTGTAGGGCACTGGTTGTGTTTTCTTCTAACAGTGTCAGGTCTCACACCGAGGTCTTTAGTCCATTTGGAAGTAGTTATTGTGTAAGGTGATGGATACAAGTCTAACTTCATTTTTATCCTAATGACCTCAAGTTCAATCCATTTACCTGAAAATATCACGATATCTATTTATGGTTTGTTAGACTTCAAGGGTAGTTTTATCTTCTTGGTTATGCTAAACAGTGCCTCAATAAACATTGGTGTGCAAATACGTCTGTGGTAGGCTGACTTAGAATGGTTCATATCATAGGTGGCCATATGATAGCTCTAATTTAGGATTTGAGGTACCCCAATTGATTTCTATGCTGACTTCAAGTTTCCATTCTTATCAGTGCTATGTGAGACTTCTTCTCTTTCCACATCCTCTGTAGCATTTCTTGTGGTTGATTTTCCCGATAGTCATTCTGACTCTGGTGAACTATAATCTCAGCGTTGTTTTAATTTGCATTTTCTTGATGACTAAGGGTACTGGCCACTTCTGAAATTTTATTTCTTTTCTTTATTTGGGGAAATGTCTATTCAACCCATTATCCCATATATTAGATTTTGTTTTTCTTTATAGTGTTTAACTTTTGGAGGTGTTTTTCCCCATTAGTTAAAATTTGCATTTCTGCTTTTATTGTGTGTGTGTGTGTGTGTGTGTGTGTGTGTGTGTGGTGTTGGGGCTGGAGAGATGGCTCAATGCTTAAGAGCTCTTGTTCTTTCAGAGGACCCGAGTTCAGTTCCCAGCATCTGCATCAAGTAGATGACAACTGCCTGTATCTCCAGCTTCAGGGGATTGGACACTCTTGTCTTGGCATTGTGGATACCAGAACACAGGTGCATATATTTACATAGACAAACAAACATACATTAAAAATAGGTATAAGTTAGTGTCTGAGTGTAGACATGAACGTGCCACTGCATGCCTGGAGGTCAGAGCATCACCTCGATCGTTGGTGCTTTCTTTCCATTATGGAATCCAGAATTAAGGTCAGGTTTGAGAGCCTTTTCCCTCTGAGCCTGTATTCTGACCCTGGATGCTTCCCCCCCACCCCCACTCCCTTTTTGTTACAGATTATAGATACTATTCTCCCATTCTATAGTCTGTCTCTTTACATAAATTTAAAAAAGTTTAAATAAAAAATGCTATGCAGAGGCTTTGGGGGGTAGGTTTGTGGCATATGCATGTGTCTGTGCTTGTATGTGATACAAGCACCTGTGGGATAGAGGTAGATGTTGGGTGTCTTCCTGAGTTTTGGACAGCTCTGTCAAAGCTTTGGTGGTGTATGTGTGTGCTTTTCATTCTGACTCTCAGTGTTCTCTCAATGCTCTCCCTGCCTGGTTTTGTGCCAGTAGCACAGGGTTTTTGTTACTATGTCTATGGGTTTTGAGACAGGATGTCACTACGTAGCTTACATTGGCCTCATATTTAAGATCTACTCCTGCAGTTGAGTTTTTATTTGACTCCTCCCAAGTACCACTTTTTAAAAAATATTTTATCTTTTTTTGTTTGTTTTGTTTTGTTTTTTTGAGACAGGGTTTCTCTGTGTAGCCCTGGCTGTCCTGGAACTCACTCTGTAGACCAGTCTGGCCTTGAACTCAGAAATCCGCCTGCCTCTGACCCCCCAAGTGCTGGGATTACAGGCATGCGCCACCACTGCCCGGCCCAAGTACCACTTTTAAGGGTCTCACAATAGAATGATGAAACATTGACACAATAAATTATCGTATATACTGATTAGTAATCACAAATCATCAATGCAGTTTAATGTAGTATAACTGGCTAATTCTCTCGGTAAAGTTACAATCCTTGGAAAGATTAGCCTGACCAGTCGATACATTTGAGAACATTGAGAATTTAACAGTATCTAGTTAGTAGCTATCAAGAGGACCTATGTCTATCACAGACATGTAAAATTCAATTAAAGAAACGAAATCAAGTTTTTAACAAAGGAAGAAACATATATAACATTTGTGTATTCTTTGAAAAGTTTCAGCATTACCCTGATACTTTCTAAATGTGCAGAAGAGATCAAGGTATAGCTGGAGGTTATGAAAGATAGCATGTGGTGACAACTCTCTAATACAGGCAAATGGTCAAAGGTTATATAGACTTCAGATAGCAAATGTGAGCTGGCCAAGGCCTGACCTTTGATTAACCTGTAAAGAAGACAGTAGTGCAATTATTAACAACCAACACATACAGGATGATTACTATGTGGCACTGTGCCAACTGGACTGTTCTATCAGATCACGGTTGTTATTTTTAAGTGGGAAAGCTAGAAGATAACCCTAGAAGGTTTGGCTCCAGGTTTTCACAGTCACTGGGTTAAAATATTCCACTTACGCATTTTTACGGATACTCCCATACTTTCAAAGGTGATTTTAATATAATTTAGCCATCTTACTTTCAGGAAATGGTCTCTCATTATATGAAAAGATGTATGTAGGAGCAATTTCCAAATTATTAAGCGGTGGAACCAATAAGCAATAGGTTATCAGAGGTGACCTCACGCATCTTCAGCTCTCAATTTCTCTAAACTGAAAGGCTTAGTCTAGTCTCTTCCTTGTTATAATTCCTGCTCCCAGATCTCTATAGACTGCTGCCAAAGCTGCTTTAAAGAGTACTTCTTCCTTTTGGACCCGAAGGCGGGGCGAGGGGTGGAGAGAACGAGGCAGGCCACGTGACTTCCTTCCTTTTTCCCCGGGCGCCTGCGTGGTCTGCCTCCTAGCAACCCGTGCATCCCGCCTAACGACGCCGGTGCACCGCGGTTGGCTGTCGCAGTGGCCGTGCACCTCCCGCGGGCGGTGCTGCCGGAAGCCCCTCCCGGGGCCGCGGCTCGGTGGCTGGCTGTCCGCGGCTGTCACTCCGGGGCGTTTTCCCCGGCCGCCGCTCAGCTGGGGCGGAGGAAGAGGCGGCCAGGGCCTGCCGAGCCGTTGCAGTCTTCGCGGCTGCTATGCCCAGGGAGCGCAGCGCCCTCCGCAGCTCCGCGCAGCCCTAGAGGCAGCCGAGCGCCCGCCGACGCCGCCCGGATCCCTGGTGCCACCGCTACCCCGGTCCCGCAGCTCCCGCGGATCCTCCGGCGCTGCCTGTGAGGCCAGGCGGAGGCAAGATGAAGATGACGGTGGATTTCGAGGAGTGTCTGAAGGACTCGCCCCGCTTCAGGTAACCGCCGCGTCTCCCAGTGCCTCCCGGAGCCGCCTATCCCGGCGGCGGGACGTGAGAGCCGGTCTTGGGGAGCGGCCGCTGACCCCAGGATCACTCATCGACCCGGGGAGCAGTTGCTAGCCCCGGTAGCGCCCGCGGGCTGCGGGAGCATCGACTGATCCGGGAATATCCTCCAGCCGCCGGCAGCACCCACCGACCCTGGGTTCACCGTCGGATCCAGGGTACACCCGCAGCTCTGTGTGCACCGCCCACTCCGGGAGCACCAGCCATCCCCGGGAGTACTGCGGGCCCGCAGTCCGCGCCTTCCGACGGGGCGGGCCGCAGCCTTTTGCCCGCAGTCCGAGGCGTGGCCGAGAGGGGACGTCGCCTCCTCAGCCCTGGCTCGCCGCCGCTTCTCCCGGAGCCAGGGCACCGCCGAATCCCTGAAGTCGCGTCCCGCTCTAGTGGCTCTCCCTCTCCCTTTCCTTCCGCTGCGCGTCGGCGCCCACCTCCCCACCCCCTCTGCGCTCAAGCTTTCTGGGCATCCTTGCGGGTCACTTAGTTCCTCTTCCCGCTACTCCGCGGCCCCGGGCTCGGGAGGAGGGGGCAGCGCTGGAGGCAGATTCGATGGAGTCGGGACGAGGGTCGGCGAGAGGGGGTGGGCTTTGAACCACCTATTCTAGCCACCCTTGACCGCCAGGGTCTGCTCTGCTTTCCGTCGAAGCTTTTGGAAGAGGTGCAGGGCTGAGTGGGCGAGACAGCATTTCTGTTTTGAGAACGGAAGTAGGAGGGCCCCGAAGATTGCATTTGTGTTCCTCTTCCCGCGGCCTGGAGAGCCCTGGATCACAGTCGGATGCTCCCAGTGGATCTGTCACAAAACTGATGTGGTGGCATTTGGATTCACATGGGCTGGCCAGCCTTCCACGTGAGAGGCGGCAGTACTGAGGGAGTCCAGACTGTGTTCTTTACGTTTTGAGTATTATAGCAAACTCTTGGTTTGGAGAATGGAGCTTTTTTAGGTTGTGTTTTACAGTGTGCTGGATAGGGCTGGCCTGAGGCCTAAATAAGACCTTAAAACTTGTTACATAGTGACATTTCTTGAAAGCTTCCTCTGAGCATTGGTGTGTATGTGCGCCCCCCCCACCCCCCAAGCTCCTTGCCAGGCGCGCATTGAAAATTCTTGCACCCTCCGGGAACTAACTGTTCTCAGTCTTCTGACTGTTAATTTGGCATTCCATTCTCCTCTCCAAGAAGAGGAAGGAGAAGAAGTGCAGAGGGAGGAACTTGGAGGAAATTTAAGGACACGTTGTCTTTGCCTTTTGCTCCTTTCTAGGTGCAAGCTTTGTTTGAAGTTAGAGCTTGTAAACAAAATACAGCTCTGTACTTGATTTCGTTACTGTTGTTGCCATTAAATTTTGACAGTTTTGTGTCCTGGGTGAATTGAAGGGCCCCCAGTGACACAAAGAGATTGTTTAGGGCAGCCTTGGAGGCTTGCTTTACTCTTTGGACAGCAAATGAAGTAATTTTAAAACAATACCATAGAAAGTTCAGCTTATTGTGAAATTTTTGCCTGTGTGATTTCAGCTGTTTATATTTGTGTGTGCGTGTGTGTGTGTGCAGGCCAGAGGTAGTCATTGGGTGTCTTCCTCAGTTGCTTCCTGCCTGACGTGCCTTTTGAGACCACTCGCACTGAACCCCAGACTTGCTGATTTGGCCAGACTGGCTGGCCAGCAGTACTTAGGGATCCTCTCATCTTTGTCTCCTCAGCTCTGGGATTATAGGTATGGTGATGTACCCGGGTTTTTTTTTAAACATATGTTTTGGGGAATCAAACCAAGTTCCTTAGGTTTGTTTGGCAAGCAGTAACAACTGAGACGTCTCCCCATCGTCAGCTGTGTCTTCATGCCAAGTAACCACAGTGTTTTTCTTTGTGCTCCCCTGGTTTTGGATAAATTTGATTTGAAAAGAGAGAGAAAGAAAGAAAAAAAGGCAAGTTAAGGGAAGAGCCTTGAAATAGGCCCCTAGCCTTTGCTGTTGGTCACATGCCATGTGACACTTTAATTTTTAAAGTAAGCATTGAATATGAGTTAAGAATTAGAGATAGCAGGTTGTATGATGTGATATGGTGAACTTTTTTGTTCAGCTTAGTAATATTTGCTCTATTTTAAGAAGGCAGAGATTTCTAGGATTTTAAGCTTCTGACATTGCAATTATTGTCAACTGCAAACTGGGAACAGATACCATAGCTCCAAGACCTCCTGCATCTTGAGTTCATTTTGGGGTCTAGATTAGATTTACAATGGAGAATAGTGCCAAGAAATCGATACCTCATTGTTAACATTCTCACTAATTGTAATTTTTCTGTGACTCTGCCAGTGTATAGTTTTTTATTGTGTCTGAATAGGATATTTCATCAGTATTTGCTCACATGCATATATTGGACGAAGTTGATTTAAGCGAATAGGTGAATTTTGAGTACTATATTGAAACACATCAAAATAGAGAATCTGTGAGCTGTGGGAATGAGTGACTGATGCCTATAAGCCCATCTACTTCAGAGGCTGAGGCAGGAGGCTCGTCTGGACAGCTGACAAGAGCCCTGCCACGTGGGCCGAGATTACTCAGTGGGTAGAGCATTGACTGAGTAGTCACTGAGGATTGAGTATGGATCCTCAGCACACTTGTAAACGCTGGGCTGGCAGTGTCAGCCCTGGGGAGGCAGAGGTGGCTCCTCTGGAGCAAGTTGGCTAGATTAAGAAGATGGCTTGCTAGTAGATAGACACTGCATCAGAGTGCTCTGTGATCAAGTGATAAGGATGGAGGAACATCCATCTCTGGCCTCCATATGTACGTACAGATGTGTGCTTGGACACCTTCCCCCCCTTGTAAATACAAACACACACATGCATACCACACACATAAACACATGAACACAAAACAAAACTCTATCATTTACTGTTACCAAGAAAAATAAGAAAAACAGAAGACATTCTGAGGATTGGTCTCTGACTTTTAATTTCTTAATCCCCTACCACCTTATTCACTTTGGGACTGGAAAGACAGCTCAGCTGTTAAGAGCACTAGCTGCTTTTCCAGTGGACCTGGGTTGGATTCTTGCTACCTACATGTCTACTCAGAACTGTCTGTAACTTCAGTTCCAGGGATCCAGTGCCCTCTTCTGGGCACAAGGCATCCATGTGGTGCACAGACATACATGCATACATATATCTATACGAATACAATAGTAAAAAAACTTAAGAAAAAAATCAGAACAGAAGCTGTGGAGCCTCACATTAAATTTTATACCATCAGTATCGACTATATACTCTTATCTACCGCCAAATATGTGAATTTTAACTGCATAGAAGTTCATTGAGTTGTGTAGACCTCCGACTAATTAATTGATGTCTTTATTTATTTACATGCTTTTAAATAATGAACTTTAAAATAAAAAAAAATTCACAAGGCAGATCTTGAGGCGTTTAAATATGGCATTTTCACATAACTGCTGTGGGTGCTGTAGACTTAATACCAAACTCAGATTTTGCTGAAGAGAAGATTCACCACCATTCAAGGTTAAAGCATCCTTTCCCTGTTAAACTGGTTAGGAAATAGTTTGGCTGAAGTAGGGAGAAAAGGATGTTGCAGTTGAAACAGCGACTCCTGATCATTTGAATAAACTCAGTGCCTTCTCTTGCATTCCAAGGCTGGGTATTCTGGATTTTGCTAGTAGGTTGGAAGACACATTTCATTGTGTAACTTCGGGTTCTATTTTTAGTTTTTAAAAATACCAGTTTAAAAGCTTAAAGGTCAAAATCTTGTTATAAAAGTCTGGAAGAATGTAAATGTATCTAAGTGTACGCTTTTTCTAGAGGGAATGTTTGGGAGGCAGAGACATTTTAACTAGTATTTACTGAAGTCTGAATTTGAGATAGAGCTATAAGTAGTCCTTTGTTTGAATTTTCAGGACTTGTAATCCAAATCATTTCTAAGCTGGGAGTGTTGGGTCATCATGACAGTTGCAGTACCAAGGTGCCAGAGGCAGAAAGATTGTAAGTCTGAGGCTACCTAGGGAGATGTGGTGATACTTATGTTTGTTTGCTTCTTCGTTTTCTTTTTTCTTTTTGGAAACAGAGTTGTTTCTCTGTGTAGCTTTGGCTGTCCTGGAACTCACTCAGTAGACAATGCTGGCCTTGAACTCAGAGATCCACCTGCCTCTGCTTCTTCCCAAGTGTGGGAATTAAAGACATAAACCACACCACCTGGCATAGAATAAAATCTTTTAACAGGATGTTTTGGATGAGGAGCTTTAGTAGGTGAAACACATTGCATCAAAACACGGCTGTGTATACCTTAGTTGATTTTGCTGTGAAGCTGGTCTCAGTCCTGGCCGATTTTCCATTTTATATCCCTTCTTTTAACAGACAAACTCCTTGATGACGGGTATCTTCTGTAGTAAAAATAGAGTGGGCAGAAGGATAACGGGAAATGTCCTTTTATCTTAGAAGTGATAAAATGGTCGGCCAGTGGTGGCGAATGCCTTTAATCCCAGCACTTGGGAGGCAGAGGCAGGCGGATTTCTGAGTTCGAGGCCAGCCTTGTCTACAGAGTGAGTTCCAGGACAGCCAGGGCTATACAGAGAAACCCTGTCTAGAAAAAAAAAAAAAAAAAGTGATAGAATGAAATTAGCATGTACCAAAGTCATGAGTCTTGATGTTTCTTATTGCAGTTTCTAAATTTTCATTCAATTCAATCAATTTAAGTTGACAGAAATATATGTAAATTTTTCTGGTGCATCAGACTCATTCTGGATCTTTTCATAGCTAACGTATTTTGTGAAGTAGAATTATTACTATTATTTTTTTTTCAGGCAGAGTCTCATTGTGTAGCTCAGAGTGAAATCCTCCTGCCTCTGCCTTCCATGTGGTGGCATTATAGGAATGCTCTACCATACCTGGCTAAAATTAGGAAGCATCCTTATTACAAAACTTAAAAATATTAACATTGGACATTAATGT